GCAAAACACAGGGATGCTAGACAAGGAAAGCAACACTATCAGGCCACGCCGGAAAGGTCACACAAAGCAATACGCTTCTAAATCTGTTAAATTGCATAATTTTGTGGCTACTTCCTTAGAACAAATCATTTTCATGTCAGAGGCAGTGGAGCATAAGTTAGTGTAAATCATGAACTCAGACCACCTACCTGAGTCCTAAACCTACCACTTCCTAACACTGACAAGTTACTCTGCCTCCCTGTGCTGAGACTACAGCACCTGCCTCAGAGTTGCTATGAGGATCCAATGAGTGAATACTTAAAGCACTGAGACAAGTGCTCAATTATAGTTATTACTGTTCTTGAAAATATCTTGTAAAAGTGCTTTTTAAAAACTGAAATAAGGACAAGGAGGCAATAATGTAAGAGGAATTCTGAACAGTCTCACCCCAGGAGCCACCCTGAGCACCCATACAGGCATTGCGCTGTGTGCATTCAGACAGTAAAAAAAGTCATTTCTAACCAGCCTTTGGTTAAAAATTCTCTCTCTAAAGTCTTTTGGCATTTACTATCTGTGCTCTTCATGTGGCACTCAACATAAACGATCTTAAATTCCTGGTGCACAATACATAAAATACTCAGTCACCAACTAGACTGAGTAATTTATATTAAGTAGAGACCACAAATTTTTAAAAATTTCTTACATTTAAAACAGCAGGCACTCAATAGTACCTGATAAATGGAAGTGAAAAATTTAAATTAAGAAGAAAATTGCTCTTCTTCCACAAAAAGATAATGATAATTACGGGTTAGTTTCAAATATTTAAGCACAACTAATTAAACTCTCAAAAGAATTCCAACTTAAAAAGGCCAATGGTCTTCCCTCTTAGAATCAAAGTCCTTACAATAATTACGTCTGCTATAACACAAAGATTAAAACTTACCATCGTTAGGCATGGTGAGAATAGGGATTTGCGTAATCGAGCCATTTCTACCTTCCACTCGCCCAGCACGTTCATATATTGTGGCTAAATCTGTATACATGTAACCTGGGAAGCCTCGTCTACCAGGCACCTCCTCCCTGGCTGCTGAAACCTGACAGCAAGTCAAGGAGAACATCACACACCAGAATTTAACAAGTAAAGCTTGGTTAGAACATGTTTGTTTAAACATGCCAAATTAACAAGTTGAAAATCCTACCCTGTTCATTTTAAATACTGTCTTTAAGAGATGATTTTTAAAAAATCTCCTAGCAACGTAAGTTTGAATTATTCTGCAAAAAAGTGTTGACAGTGGAGAACCAATTTTTTCCCCAAAATCATATTGCCGTAATATAAATTTTCAAATAGTTTGCTAGAAGAAAATCTGCTTGCAATTCTATAAATCAAAGGAAGTTAATTTTAAAACTGAGAAAAGATTCTTAGTTCACAAGATTTATTTCATGCTATGAAGCTAACCATATGTATGTAAACTAATCCCAAAAAGGTCAAAACGGAAGGAAATGTATACCAGGAATCATCTGTTGTACCTTACATACATTATTTAATTTAATCCTCACAACAACCCTATAAGGAAGGTTGTTATCTTCAATTTATAGCTGGAATTGAGGGTCAGAAAGTTTCCCAAGATCACAAAGCCAGAAGTCCATTACACTGCATAAAATAACAATAGTAATAAATGGTCTTTCTCTTAGGGACACACATACTGGAACACAGGCATACAAATTAACCTACGATCAACAAGAACCCTAAAGTATTATTAAATGCAACTTCTAAATGCTATTTTGGTACCTACAAGAGTGTGCTACAGCAGTGCTACTCAAAGTGTGTTCTACAGATCAGCTGTTATCAATGTGCAATGACATAATAGAGAAGGCAAGATAAGCATTTAGAAACTTTTAACAGAATAATTTTGCCTTGTTAGAACTAATAATAATTTTAAAATCTGGGTTTGTAAATTGTACA